TCTTCAGTTTCTTTAGCCACTTTCTTCTGAACTAGATTAAATGGTTCAGCCCTTACTGATCCTAAAATAAAGCATAGCACGTCTAGAACAATAGAGTGGCTGTCCACATGGAGTGGGGGAGAACTGGGTCACCTGGCTTAATCTAAACTATTTCAAAGGTGAGTTAAAAAGGATAAATCACCAAAGCTCCAAATGTATAGTACTTGCTGTATATGGAAGAGTCTAAGTCTGCACAGGCAGTTAAACCATACCTGATATTTGCAACTAGATTTTGTTGTTCATACAGTGTGAATCCCCCTGGGAAATTTGGCTTAATGCGTTCTGCTGGAGGGTGAAGCCTCTGTTGGAAAGCATACGCATCAGTACAAAGTGTCTTTGCATCTTCTCTAAACAGTACAGAATGACAGTACTTTGAGTGCAGGTAGTGTTCCATCTGGGACTGATAGTTCAGAACTTATTGATTCATGGAGGGAAAACTAATTATAAAGGGTCATTAATATTTGATTTCTACCTTTAACCCCAGTATAAGAAACTGGACTTTATAATTCAACAATGTAAGTTGTATTCCATGATGTAAGATGTAAAAATCCAGATATTTCTGAGTTACCTTAAGGGGGACAGGGGCGGACTGGCCTGGTGGGATATCAGGAATTTCCCGGTGAGCTGTCATGTCCGCACGCCGTTGCCCCTCACTCAAGCACCTCTGCATCTGCACTGTATGTGGCACACAGAGCCCAACCCACTGCCTGTGCTGTGTGCCAGACATGATACAGGGAAATGAAGCGGGGCTTGAGGGGCATGCATGGGTGGCATCATGGGGAGGGCTATTTTCAACCCATTTCCCGGGCCAATTTGATTGCCATTACACTCCTGAAGGGAGATGAACTGGAACAAGGATATGTGATTCATGTTGGGGTGGAAGAATTTGCCTTGAAAATGCAAGCACAGGTTTGTTTGGTATTAGGTGTAAAAATGTAGTATTTGACCCAGCATGACACATACAGTAGAACTTGGCTTCTGGCTATGAGAAGCCTGCATCGAAATGATACCCATTGTGTTGTTTTCTTACATTTGTATTCAGTACTAAATATGAAAATTCAAGGAAAAAATTCATAACCTAATAAATTTGAGAATTCATTTTTTGTCAGAAGAATCCTCTTAGAGCCAAATATATGCTGCATCTTGCATAACTTTTCAGCTAATAATCTAGGTACCAGTGTCTCCATTATGTAGCAACTGAATCACTGAACAGAGTTATCTGAACCACATTTTAATAAATCCAGATTGTTTTGTGATTGTTTCCTTTGTCTCATGGTTGAAGTGAAAATACAATTTTTGGCTTGGCAGTAATTTTAAATTCAAAAACGAATATTGGGTAGTTCATGTAGGACAGTATATATATATATACCTAAAATGGTTTTGGATTTGTTTGCTGCCTTACATCCAGTGGTTTGCAGATACATTGTGCAAGATCTCATGGAAACAGATCTTTACAAGCTCTTAAAGACACAACACCTCAGCAACGACCACATATGTTATTTCCTTTACCAGATCCTGAGAGGGTTAAAATATATTCATTCCGCCAATGTGCTGCATCGTGACCTCAAACCCTCCAACTTGCTGCTTAACACCACTTGTGATCTCAAGGTTAGTTGGAGCCTTCCTGCAAAGTAGTCATTTTTCAGCTAAATTAAACTCCATTGTGCAATGCCTTAAACTAGCTGCTGTAATCATGAAACCAATTTGAGTAATGTGGGCTTTTTCCTATTAACATTGTTAAGATATCTTTTTTTAATCAACAGTCTGTATAAACTAGTGCTAGATTTGATTTCTGCATAATAGGTTTTAACTTTCTTACCTGTGAATCCTTTCCATAAACATTAATTTTACTTTTAAGTAGCTCCATCAGTGTAATCTTGAATGTTTTCTGCAGTATATAAACAGATGCACTCATCTTTTAACTTCCCCTTAAAATTCACAAGTGACAATTGTGACAGCTGCTTTCAGTGAACCAGCACATAGGATAATATAGAACCACAAGTAAATATATGATTAAGGTCAAACTCTCTTTTTTTTCCCTGAGGCTGATTTTTTTTTATCCTTCCCACTAATTTCTGAAGAGACTCTTTTCCCTTAATTTTTGGGGGTGCCTGAAATGCCTCATGAGTAGTCTCTGCCTAGAAAATAACTTTTTGGAAAGAGTTGAATTTAAAAAGCCCTTTCCACCAAGAGTTATGGGAATAAAAGAGAAATTAAGCCTAGATGTTGCTGCATAAAACTAAATATTGTTATAAGCTCTACTCCATCTCATTGAAGTTTATTTTAAAATGTCTCTAGATGTGTTATGACAATATTCAAAATGTAATCCCTATAGCTAGGTTGTGAGTTTATCAGACTAGTTTTAAGAATTAATTCCACCAATCAGTTGTGTACTTGCTCATCCCAAACACTGATTGCTTACCTTGAGTGCTTGCTTTTTGTCAGCTAGCTTCTCAGTCCTGTAACAAATGAGACCAATGATGGTGGAATATTTGTCCAATGCCAGTCTACTGACACCAGTGCTCAGGGGCTTTAGCAGCCCTTGGAGACACCTTCAAGGAAGGAAACATGCATTGGTATAAATCTTCAGTCTCTTAAAAGGAGAAGCAGGCAGCAGCAGAAGTTCAAAAGAATATTGTGTGTCCTGGAAGGGTAATAGGTGTCATTTTGACCTAGGTAGAAAGTCATGAGAAAAGGTCAAGCAGCACAAGGCAATACATGGAATGTTACTTGGGAGCATCTAGTTGTTTATTTCCAGTGTTACTATAGGACTACTTAACAGTGTTGCATGCTCTCCACACACAGGCTATGTCTACACTTGCGGCTTCTTGTGTCAGAAGTATGCAAATGAGGCAAGCATGGAATATTGCTGAGTCTCATTTGCATACCTAATGAACCACCACTTTTGCAGAAGAGGTTCTTAAACAAAAAGTCTCTTGTGCAATGCTGTTATTCCTGAATATAATTGGTGTAACGGCATTGCGCAAGAGGGCTTTTCTTGCGCAAGAAGGGGCATTGTAGACCGCTCTTTCTGGTGCAAGAGCCTCTTTTGCTTGTCCTACTGACCATATTGGCAGCTCCTGGCATACTTTACGATTTTCTTCCAAATGTCACCATCCTATTACAATCATTTCATATAAAAATTCCCTTTTAGGATTATAGGTGGTTAGATTAAGAATTACACTTAAAAATTATCAGAAAATGGAAAGACAGAATAAAGGCTAGAAATACTATTGGGATTGTTGATATTTTGCATCTGGCAGACATTACTCCATGAGGCCTTCTGAGTTTCTATGTGATACTTGTAATTATTTTTGGCAACATGGTATGAAATAAGAAATTGCCATTTACTCTTCTTAAATTCACAAGTCTTCAGCATTTCTTTATTTCAGGGGTTCCAAAACTCTTTTGATAGAGGGACCAATAAATCCATTCATGAGCTTTTGGAGGACTGGTAACATTTGTGTGCATATTTGCATATTCATTAAACAAATGATGACTATTCAAATAAGTTGTTTCTGGTCCTCCCAAAGCCCCCAGCAGAAACTTTAGCAAAGCTTTTGATAGTCACCCACAATATTCTTGCCAGCAAGTTAAGGGAATAGGGATTGGATAAATGGACTGTAAGATGGATAGAAAGCTGGCTACACCAGGGTTTCCCAAACTTTTTACTTTAGTTGGAACCCATCTTCTCTAGTACTGCTTTTTGGAGCCCAAAAATACTTATTAAAAATGAATAAATTTTCAGTGTTTCACCTGGCTGCATCCTCTGCCCAGCCTGGGCCAGGGTTTGAGGGACCCAGTGCTGCATGGGCACTCCAGGAGGCGGAAGCAGGAGCAGATTGGGGGTAGGATATCTGGCTAGGAGGGAGGGTGCAAGGAGGGGTAGGGTTGCCAGGTGTCCCATTTTGTACCAGACAGTCCAGTATTTGAGGGTTCTGTCCAGGAAACATTCTCTCATTAGGTAAGCTTTATTATTATTGTATCAGTCCATAGCTGCGAACTACCTGGCTGATAGATGTGCTCACACTTCGTGAGTGTGTCTACCAGCCAGGCAGTTTGCAACTACTCAAGGGAGGTTACGGGCGGAGGGCAAAATGGAATCCCCCGGGGCTGGACTCACTCATGTGTCCTGGTCTGCATGTGCCCAGATCAGTCCTGCTTTTTTCCGGCCAATTTTCCCCCCTTCCCTCCCCTCCCCCAGCCCACTCCACTCCCCTCCCGGCAACCATGCTGAGGCCTGGTATTTTTTTTCCCCCAGGCCTGGTGCTGGGACACAGCCCAAAGTTTGGGAAACGCCGCTTTATTTCATTATCCTATGTGTTCTATAAATTCGTAATTTCTCTGGGGGGAAATATTTTACAATACACTCTTTTCCTGATGGAAAGAGTACCCAAACTTGTATAGATTGCTCCATTCTGTGAAGTGTTCTTCATGAAGGAAGAATTTACTCATGTAGTTGTCTCAATCCAGGCACTTGCCAACCGAGTTAATAAACATTAACAGTTGGCTGGCTTCCCAGAGAACACTTCCTATTTTCTTCCAGTCTGCCTTACAAAAACAAAACCTGGCCCTTTCACCACCCTACTGCCCTCCTTCACTGCTTTGGAAAAGGGCAAAAGTCTGTAGCAAGCAACATTCTTTAAAAAGTTATCTGAAATGACCTCCCTGATTCTTAAGGCTTGCTAGGTCCCTGCCCCCTATCAGTTAGAGCTCAACTTTCCACATTTGCCTAATCTCCGTTGAAGCTAAAGGGATCTCCCACTTTCTGTTGAATTTATCAATCTGAATAAGAGCTGCTTCTTATGTTCTAGATGTGTTTAGTGCTCAATATTTCTTGAACGGTGCTAGGGCTTGAGCAATCTTTAACTGCCATGCCGAACCCTGTGATGCCAGAGCTATGAAATACCAAGCCTAGAGGTAACAGGGTTTAGCTGTGGCAAACCCTGGCACAAATTAGGCAGTCTGCCTAACAAGTTAAGGGGGAAGGTGTGCACTGCACAGTAGATAGTTCCTGCTCAGTAATGATTTTATATGATCTATTTTTGGTCTTCCTACCAAGCCATAAGAATAGCCTTGCAACTAAAATTTTGGAATTAGTCCATTCTGTACTCCTTATGAGTTTTTCCACAGACTTATTGTGTTACTTCAGCAAATAATATTGACCTTTTGCACCTTTGTCTTATCAGCAATGGCCCTTTGCAGATGAAATTTCATACAAAAGTTATGAAGCTTAACTCATTGTTTTAAGCACTTTATGATCTTTAAATGCAGGTTCTAATGCAAAAATATTCATAATGTTTTTTAGTTAAATTAGTGTAAATTTCAGTGTGTAAATTTATTCTTTCATATTCTTTACAGCCTTAAAAGAACATTGAAATAGATAGTTTGGGCAGTAACTAAGGTGAACTAGAACACAAACTTATGTTGATTTCTTTATGTAAAACCAGATTTGTGACTTTGGACTGGCTCGTGTCGCAGATCCAGATCATGATCACACAGGATTCCTGACAGAATATGTAGCCACACGTTGGTACAGAGCGCCTGAAATAATGTTGAATTCAAAGGTAAGGACTATACGTGGGCCAACAAGAAAAGTATGCTATAAAGATATCCTAGGTTTGTATAAAAGTAGAATTCACTTTAAATCACATGTTTCTTGTCATTGCTGGCTATTGAGCAGCTTAAATAATGGCTGAGATGTCTTCACTGAGAAGGATGAGGAGAAATCTTAAGTTTAAGGGGTTTGACTTAGTGGATTGTGCAGGTTAGCAAATGCGTTTATTGTCTACATTAATGCATACTGTAGTAATATATGAAATGCTTAATACTATATGGTCTAGTACCTTTTTTCTCGTTTTACGGGAAAAGAGGTGGTTCATTAGAATTTTAATATCAGCATCAAGGCTGTAAGATATCAGTATTTTTGTTTGAAAACCACACATTTCAAATGATCACTTAGTATTTTTACTTTCTTTACTGGTAATCAAGGTTTCCTAGAATTGTTAGCATATGTCTGAGAACACTAATTTAAAAGCAGGAGAATTACTGATTCTGGTTTAAATCCATGAATTTTGACAGTTACAGCTAACATGATTGAGTGTCTGTACAGGAGGACTTTTCCAGGCACAACTACGTATCAACCATGCTATACGGCCCACACCTTGATTCCTGCACAATCATGTCTGTAACGTTGCAATCTGGGTAAATTTGGGCAACCTCTTGTTGTGCCAGCGGTAGGGGGCAGTGGGTGTTCTTTCACACTTTGTGGTACCATCCTAAGCAGACACCTGGGTTGTCTGTCTTACCTGGTTACCTTTATACAACAATGCAGAAAAAATATAACAAGCTGGCTAGAGCCTAGAAATCGGACAGGATCACTAGCAAAGTGATATACTTGGTATACTTCCCTTCTGACTCACAGCAGAAGTCAGATATGTTGGTGAAATCTATTCAGTGTCTTTTCCTCCTTGAGCTGGAGATGATCCTATACTAGCAGCTATCAAGAGCAGGTGTTTCAAAACTCAACATTCCTAGTGACTCATAGAAGCAAATAGTTCAACTGCAGAGTAACTTCAGTGCACCTGGACACTTGCCCTCCTGGTATCAGCATCTCAGAGTACAACAGCTGTCTGATCCTGTTTCCATATCCTCCCAAATTCCTCTTGCCACTCATTCATCACACTCCCTAAACCAAATTAGTTAACTTTCAAATTGTGTAAATATCACGTGGTTTCTTACAAACATGTATACCTTTTTTTATGTAAATATACTATGGAGTTTATCCAGATATACACTCTAAAATAACCAGGTAACCTTATTTTTATAGCTTCTTGTTTACGAACTTGTGTTTCAAAGGGTTTGTTCTATTTTGTGGCCTAATTTATATTTTATGGTTCTTACATTGTGATATGTAATAGCTTGCTTCCAATTTTGGTAAAATCAAACTTGATAGTATTTACTGACACAAAGTATTCTATAACAGTTAATGTTAAAATCTATTATGTAGTTAGGTCCCGAAATCAAAGAATTACTAAGTATGTTCAGTTGTTGATCTGGATTGGCAACGGATTAAATTTAGAGGGAATCCCTTTTTTGTTTAGAAATATTTGCATTTCCTCTTCAAGTAAAGCGTTACTTCCATTCATATCTTTGACACACAATTCTTGATTCCTTGCTGCGCAAGAATGTGTAAATAATGCTATATCATAAGCATGATTTAGCACAATTTAGTGCTTTAGATAGTGTCCTATCTAAGTGCATAACCTATTAATGTGTGAATTATACAATGAAAATATCAATTTTTTTTCTCCTTTCTCCCTTCAGGGTTATACCAAGTCTATTGATATCTGGTCTGTAGGCTGTATTCTGGCAGAAATGCTCTCCAACAGACCCATCTTTCCAGGCAAACATTACCTTGATCAGCTGAACCATATCCTTGGTAAGCTTGCTTTTTATTTTAAAAATTATTTTATCATTGTTTCTTGCCTCATTGACAGTTCCATACCAAGCTTTGTCACCCATTATCCATCTCCAACAGTTGTCTCCAGGCTTTCTTTCGGTTTATTTGTACGGAATACTTTTCCTGTGGTGTTCTGCAAGACCACTACTCTCTCCATCTACATTCTTCTGTTGTGATGCCTGCTGGAAATGAAAAGCCTAGTTTAAGGGGCAGTTGAAGATCTCTTAATCCTTGTATAAAAGTACTTTTATTTTGGAACCATCAAGTTCTGCGTGTTATACGCCTATCTGAATGTGGGATATTTTTGTTCTGTCTCCTTCCAGTATTCATTAGGGACCTCTTCCTTGATAGAATCTAGAGGATTCAGTACATATATAACTTGATAATAAAGGGTTCATAATAAAGGATTCATACAGTATTGCTGTACTAGGAGAACAATTCAAACAACTTTAAGTCAAGTAACTTTCCTGGAGAATGAATAGATGCTCTCTTTGTTGTACTGATTACTAATTTCAGTGATACAAAATTGAGATGATTTTTAGTTATTGAGACTCAGATGTAGCTCTCAGTATTTGTAGTACCTATCTTTCTATAAGCTGATCAAAAATCATTCTACCTCAGACTGATATAAAGAATACAAAAATATCTCTGGGGACAACATTGTTTGCCAAAGCTATTTATATCCAGTTATCTGCCACCTTTTTAAAAAAAAAAAAAAAAAAAAAAAAAAAGAGCAGCAATAGTAATAGAGTAAAAGCAGAAATCAGAGTTGTTTGTAATTTTGTTTATTCGAAGTGTTTTCCACATGAAAACAATTCTTTTATATTTTTAGGTATACTTGGATCTCCTTCTCAAGAAGACTTGAGTTGCATAATCAATTTAAAGGCCAGAAACTACCTGCTTTCTCTGCCACACAAAAATAAGGTACCATGGAACCGGCTGTTTCCAAATGCTGACCCCAAAGGTATTTTATCTTTGCACCATTACACTTGTCTTGATCTTTAAAGAAGGAAAACTACAGAAATTTATCAATGGTGGGATTTTCAGAACTGCTTAAGGATTTGTACACCAGTTCCTAGTAGCATTCTTCTTTTAGTGTCCTTATGAGTCCTCTAGTAGAGGTATTTGCATGCATCTATGCACTTCTAATTAGATTTTTTTTTTGGTAGCAGTGTCCATTGAGCACCTGCATGTGTGCTCTCTCCCTCAGACCCGCTTCAAGACTGTCCGACAGTGTGCTGAAAACCCCTCCCTCCCTCCTTAACTGCCTCTGGCTTCACTGGGAGGGTGAATTGTCCCTTCCTTATCTGCATCATTAGCCTAAGTAGTAAGTTTTTTTCCTTTCTTTTTATTCTCCCTAATAGTGTTTCCATTTATTTATTCCCTTTTAATTTAAAAAATAAAGCCAGAGAAGGAAGAAACGAAAGAACTTCAGTTGAGTTTCCTGTCCTGTCTGAAGGCATTCTTCCCCCCTCCTCCACACCCTGCCATGTTTGGAAAGCTAAGGCTTTTTTCAGTTAAATGCAGACTTTTTTTTTTAGTAATCAAGCTGGTATTACACCCCATACCCCAAGGGCATGCTCAGATCTCTCAGCTTCAAGGGCTGCATCTCCTGTTTGCAGTTCCTGGAACAACCAGATACTGTATCTGATGCTTGGGGGACTCAGTTGTGCCAGATGAAGCACATTTGTGAAACAGCAGTCTACTAACTCCTCCTTATGGGGAAGGCACTTCAGCTTCCAAGAAACTCCAGTGCTGGTGAATCAACCCTGGAGCCTTTATCTTCAAAGGGAGTAGAGTTAGTTTACAAAGACTCCCTATAAAGGCTGATAAAATGGCACCCAGTCATTGGTTAGCCAGAAGGGGGTTCCTCAATGTGGTCACCTCAATACCCATGGTACTGTCTGCTCTGAAGCATGGTACAGGGTAGGGATGTCAATGAGCTATCGACTAGTCACCTAGTCGACTACTCACAATTCCCCTCCCCCTGCTGCCTTGTTCTTGTATTAGAAGCAGCAATGGTGGGGGGAAGCAGGAGCCAGTGCTGGGGGAAGTCTGCTTAAAAGCTGGGTTCCCCCAGTACCAACTCCATGGTTCCACCTTCTCCCTCCTGAGTACTGCATGGTGTGGAAGAGGGGGCTGCTGTAAAGCAGCCTCTGTCCATGGTGAGCTCAGGCCCACTGTGGGCAGAGGCTGGGCTGGCAGATTAGAAGCAGCAATGGTGGGGGGAAGCAGGAGCCAGTGCTGGGGGAAGTCTGCTTAAAAGCTGGGTTCCCCCAGTACCAACTCCATGGTTCCACCTTCTCCCTCCTGAGTACTGCATGGTGTGGAAGAGGGGGCTGCTGTAAAGCAGCCTCTGTCCATGGTGAGCTCAGGCCCACTGTGGGCAGAGGCTGGGCTGGCAGGA